TGGCAGAGCGGAAGAGAACTGAGAATATGGCTAAGCGACAAGAACGAACGAGCAAGGAAGCAGGGGGTCCGAACTCGGAAGGGATTACGTGTGCAGTCAGGAGTTGCATGGAGATCGGTGAACGGTGTTGATCTTGGCTTTAATCACGCGATTAATCTCGTCATGATTATCGAACCTTTACATCCCAAGTTCCGCACGGATTCGCGATTAATCGCGCATTTAATCGTTAATTTTAAGAAAGCCCCCCTCGTTCGTTAAATTAACGATGATGATGGGGGAACCCACTCGCTCCCGGGAGGGGGTGGGGTCAAGGATCTTTCTGCGCCGCTCTCCCTCTGTGTGTGGTTGACATTCTCGGGGATAATTCCTTTTTTTTTCTTCTTTTTTTCTTATTTTGTGGACTTTTTTTTTTTTTTGGGTCAAAATGGACTCTTGTTGGTGAGGCTTTGGTTGGGTTTTTCTATCTTGTCATGTCACAGAAAAAGCAAAGTTGATGAGGGAGGAGAAAAGGGCCTTTTTGCGGTGGCTGATTGGGTATATGGGTAATTGGCCTTCATGTCATCATTATCACCACCTGATCACATGATTGATCCGCCCCCGGGTAGCTGTTCGATCTGAACCGTCAGATTAAGAATAATAATTTCGGATGATTTGAAAACGATAATAAAGAGTAACTCAAATTTTCAAACCCTAAGGTTTGAGCTTTTCGACGACCCTTTTAAAGAACGTGGAGATTTGCAACAAGGAAACCTTTGAATGTGAATATTATCTGATTGAGCAGCAAGGTGAAATTTCCCATTATCTAATTTAATTGAAAATTTTTTGGGCAGGATGGATATCGCATCATTAAAAAGGGGCGGTTTCCTATCTTGAATTATACGGTGCTCTCAAATCGCCTTTTTAATGATTCTTGAATTTTTCGAGGGCATGTGCAAGTCCAAGATAAAGATAGCCAAGTAAGATTTCCCAAATTCATGTTCTCTTTTTCTCTCCCCCTCTCTCTGCTAGGGTTTCAGAGTCGCCGCGTTCACTCATCAACTCGGTGTAAGTGCTCTTCCTCTACCCTTTGTTTTCACGGTTTGAACTTTTTCACGCTCGTCACGCATTCTGACTCATATCTTCCGTTTCGTCATGCTCCGTTTCTGATAGATTCGGAGGTTTATTTTGCGTTTCGCTTGATTTTTCTTGTAATTTCACGCATTCTTAATGTATCCTTGTTTGTGTAGCTTAAATTCCAGTCGAATGCATTCACAGGTCATACTTTTTTGGATCGTTTTACGCTTTGAATTTCAAGATATGTTGTTTTTTTTTTTTTGGGTCAGAATCGAGATTGCCGTAACTCTGTTTTCCCTTTCCTTTTGTAATTTAATTCAATGTTTCAACATGAGGACGATCTTTGTAGTTGTTTTTGGTGCTTTTTTGTTCTTCTCTCCTTAAAGTGCGTTGGGTCTGGAGTTAATTTGACTAGGTTTTCAGTTGGTGCCATCTTTGATTAGAACAGCACCTGAAATTTTTTTCAAAATCTATCTCTTGCTGGATTTTTTTAACCAAGTTAGTAACCTGATTAAGTGAAGTGATTCTTTATTACATACTCTGGTGCCCAAATTTTTTCCTGTAGACATTTTCTTTACGAGATTTTTAGTTCATTTTTCCTAATAGATTTTCAGTTAGTAGCCTAATTAAGTGAAGTGATTCTTTATTCTGGTTTTTGCGTTTACATCATGGGTCGTGATTCTGTTTGTTATTTTGTCATGGGTCTGTAGAGGACAATTTGTCTGACACATTATATCTTATGGGATGAATGTGCCCTTTTGTCTGGTTTTGTTCCGAAATGAGAATGTTGTTTGTCGGATTGGGTCGCACTTCTTTTTTAAACTTCATTATTGCTATGGGAAACAAGCTCATGCAAGTACTGCTTAAGTTTTCTCTTTCGCACCATGTGTCTGCCGGCATATATGTGTCACGGTCCAAAGAATTGGATCGTTCATGAGGTTCCTGGACGATGGATCGTGACCGGCCCTCGGACGAGAAGCCGGGCCCCGAGTGTTCTAGTACTAGGGTTGTCTTGATGTCTTCTAGAATATTCCTGGGGGGGCGATACGGTAATTGTGCCCTTCCGTAATAAATACGGTAGGTGAGGTAGTTGGGTGAGTACGATCTCGACCGTTGAGATCGGGGAAAGATCTACGGATACGGTCAGCCCGATACTTGTATATAGTGGGGTCTCCTCCCCCTCATTTTATCATCTCTCATTTTCAAGAAGCAATACAAAGTTCAGAGCTTCTCTCTCTAGAGCTTCTCTCTAAAGTTCTTGCGAGTGTGAGTGTGAGAAGGCTTACTTGGGGAGAAATTCCTAAGGCCGCACGGGTTTGGGAACGCTAGATCGATCGACTCGTGACATATGCCTATATAACCTGCAAAATCATGTTTCGTTTGCTAATCTGCTCCTAATATCAAGTTTAATTCCTGTACAGCAGCTACGCTCCTCCTCGAAAACCAATAAAACCAATCACAACCATGACCGTGGTTGTCTCTAGAGTCCTTAAACCTCTTGCGGAGAAACTAGCTTCATCGGCTTTTGAAGAATGTCAATTGGTATGTGGCATACCGAGAGAAGATCAAGAGCACGCTAGAGACGATCTAGAGGGTGCTCGCTGATGCTGAGCAGAAGCAAACTAAAGATGAAGCTATGAGGATTTGGCTATCGAAGCTTAAAGACTTCTGCTATGACGTCGACGACGTGCTAGGCGAATTTGAAGCCAGGGCTTTGTGGAGGCAGGCGAGGTCCACCGAGCACTTGACCCTCAAAAGGAAAGTATGCTACTTGTCCTCGTGAATATCCAACTTCATTTTCCAGTTTAAAATGACACATAATATGAAAGAACTAAGAAAGAGACTTGATGGGATCAATAAAGAGAAAACTCAGTTCAACTTGTCGAGTGATGTTTATGACAAGACTATAGTTACGCGGAGGGAAACTCATTCTTCTGTGTCCCCTTCAAATGTGATTGGAAGAAATGAAGAAAAGGAAATGATGATAAAACTGTTGAGAAGATCAGATGACGGCAGAGCTGGAATGATAGAAGTCATTCCGATTCTTGGAATCGAGGGTATTGGAAAGACGACTCTCGCTCAATTAGTATACAATGATGAATGGGTAAACAAACATTTTGATCTCAAAGTTTGGTTATACATGCCAGTAGAATTCAAAGTTAAGAAGATAATAAAAGGCATCATCGAGTCTCTTGGTCATATAGAATAATATGATAGCCTTGAAATGCTTCAAAATTGCCTAAGAAGTATCATGGAGACCAAAAGATGTTTGTTCGTAATGGACTATGTGTGGGAAGTGAGGCGGGAGGATTGGGTGGGATTGAGAGATTTGTTGAGAGGCGTTTCCGAGGGAAGTAAAGTCATCTTGACTTCACGGAATATATCGGCCGCCTCAATCATGGGCACTGTCCCCCTGCTTAATTTGGCCAGCCTTTCGCGAAAGGATTCTTTGACTTTGTTTGTAAAGTGCGCGTTCAATCAAGGGCAAGAGAAGAATCACCCGGACCTTATGGTAATTGGCGAGGAAATCGTGAGCAAGTGCCGGGGAAATCCTCTGGCGGTGAAGACTTTGGGAAGCTCGTTGTATTCAAAAAACAATCGAAACGACTGGGAAAATGCAATTTGATTCTCGATTGCCATTCATGAATTTGTGATCCAAATATACGATTCGGTATCTCGATTTGACAATTGTAGTTAGAGCTAGGGAAATTTCAGGGATATAAGCCACTTTGTTCCATAAATAATATTGTGTATGCTACCCCAAAGAGAATATTTACCTATTTTGTTTTAGTATATGATTTCGAACTTTATTTATAGTTAGTCCAAGAAAATTGTCTATGATACTGAAAATTGTCTCTGCTTTGGATGTTTCCATCTCTCTAATAAGTTCATGTCTATGGGATCAAATCCCACATTCATATCTGTTCATTTCTTCTTCGCACATGTCCCGTGTTTCTTTTCCACAGTTGAAATTCAGCGTTACACTCTGCTTGATCGCTCATATTGAGTGCGAATTCGATCGGCTTTTGGCGTGCGTCGTATTGGGAATCTTTGAATTGAAATGGAGAAGCCTCTTCGCCACGGTATAATTATCTCAATCTCCTTACTCCTCTGCTTTTTGGCTTCTTCTTCCTATTTCTTTATTGGTTAACTTTCTGGCGAATTCACTTCTAGCACACGGCGTCGGTCAAGTTTTTCAGTTGCAGTGTGTGGGTTGGTGAGTGGATTTCACTTGCTTGCTAATTGCTCCGTTTTTATCACCGACTGAATTTGTGTTGTTTGAGTTTATAAATTTACAGTTTTGGAGTGTCATTGCGTGAATGTCATTCTCATTTTTGCTGAGGGAGAGATCTGCGTGATGATAATGCCGTCTACTTCTGTAAGTAGTTCTTGTATTCGGCCAAGTTTGTTCATGGGTTTTCCTCCTTCAAGGGGAAGCTCTCTTTTAACTGTTAATTCAGCTTCTGGTATCTGTCCAAAGCATATCTGTGACAAGAATAGATATATAGCGTGTCGGCCCATTGTCAAGGTATGTGAGCTTGCTAGAAAGGAGTGGATTTTAAATATTAGATTTTAGTGGATTAGACACCAATGGAAGCTCTCATTGAACATTTCCACAGAAGTCAAAGTGCTGTATAACGTTAGGAACAATGACGAACTTAGATGCTACAACATAAGCGAACTATATAAGTGCTGGATCAGCCACCGCTTATGAAATTGAATATAATCGTCTCATAAGCCTTATTGTAGTCTCTCTGTTTTAATTCCCTTCGTACTTTTGTACCCCAAGCTCTCGTATTGGCTTTGGTTGTGTATATGCGATAGCGACGATGGGAATACCGTGGTGACCGGAGATGCAGACAGCAACACCTGATACTGATGGTATGCGCTCACGGGACATACATGAATGAGCACCTGATTGTCTAAAGTCGCCCCTGCAAGCATGGTTTTCTCAACAACGCACAAAGATGTATTCTTTCCTCAAAAGCATCCATAAACATGAAGCAAGCAACAAGAAAAAGGCCGCGAGTTCTCAAAATCAACAATGAAAAGCAATTTTAACTACCATTGCCAAAACTCAAACCTTATTAGCGCGGTCAGTAATCCTCGAAACAAACCAAGCACAAACACTAGTATCGCATAGCCTAGATTCGCATTTAGTACTTGTAGTCCTTAACATGGAGAGACTCGGAAGCGCCCTCGCCGAGTTGAGCATCGCCCTTGTAAGTTCCGAGAGTGGCCTCTGAGTTCGCCTTGCATCTTCTGAGCAATGCGGCCTGTGCCTTGGGAATGTTCTCTTCCTTTCCAGCCCATGCCTTCAAGGTGCTCTGCTGTAGGGCCCGACCAAAGGAGAAGGAGAGGCTCCATGGCTTCTTGCCCTTGAGCTTGTTCATGGCATTGAGGTTGAGAGTGGCCTCCTCCTCGCTCTGCCCACCGGACAAGAAGACGACGGCCGGAACGGCAGCAGGCACTGTTCGCTGCAGGGCACGGACGGTGTACTCAGCAATGACCTGCGGCGCAACCTTGGGGGCGTCCGATCCGGGGGTGACCATGTTGGGCTTCAACAAGGTTCCCTCGAGGAGCACATGGTGGTCGTTTAGGGCCTTGTAGCAAGCAGCAAGAACACGCTCGGTCACGTCGGCGCACTTGTCAATGCTGTGGGAACCATCAACCAAGATCTCGGGCTCCACAATGGGGACCAGACCATTCTCCTGGCAGATAATGGCATACCTCGCCAATCCATTTGCGTTCTCGTTGATAGCAAGCTGAGATGGCTCAGTTGGGCCGATCTTGAGCACAGCACGCCATTTGGCAAAACGAGCACCGGCTGCATAGTATTGCTGGCATCGCTGAGCAAGGCCATCGAGACCCTGAGTGGTGGTCTCGCCATTTGTGCCAGCGAGCTCAACTGTGCCCTTGTCAACCTTAATGCCAGGAAGTACTCCACCTTCCTTCAGGACATCAACGAAGGGCTTACCTGCATAAATACAATTATTCGGTGAATGAGGAAATAACCCTAGACCCAAAACAAACATGTGCCTGCAGATGATTCGCAAGCCAAAACATCACGATGAGCTTCTCATCTACTCATTTCGAGACAACTGAATTTTGTGTGCTCGATAAACGGATCAAGGGCAACATACAGCTTAAAAGGATTAGCTAAATTAGCAACTACTGAGAACACTGACCAGCGGCGGTCTTCTGGTAGAGAGTTTCCTCGAACAGAATCACGCCACTAAGGCACGGGAGAGCTCCGGGAGCGGTAAAGAGGAGTTCGCGGAGGATGCGCCTGTTGGTCTCCACATTTTCAACATTGATGCTGGACAACCGCTTGCCGATGGTGCCGGTCGATTCATCAGCAGCTAGAATACCCTTCCCAGGGGTACCGATGTAGGCAGCATTGGCGATGAGCTCATCTACATAAATCCCAAAAATTCAACACGGGTCAAAACTATACACCCTCGTCCATCACCACCGTGTCTTATATAGAAACAAGGCAAGATTAATTATGTGAAAAAGATCTATCTGACTAGAAAGTCCCCCGAAGAAGCAGTGCATCGTCAATGAAACCAAATCAAATCAGGCGAAAAAAGAACAAGGGTCGAATTATTTTATCATCTAGGAACAACGGGATCACGATTCACAGGTAGTCAAGGCCAAACCCTTGCGCAGCAAGTGAGATACAATCAAACCGTCAGGATCAGCTAGATCTACAACATCTCCCTCCGACCACAGCGACGCAGAACTCGAATCCACAGCACCGAATCCCACAACAACCAGTAAGGGTCGCCACAAATCAACCGAGCCGCCAGAGAACAGACAAAGAAGGGCCGAACCAGAGCAAGATCAAACCAGACACACCACTTTCACCACAGGCACACACATATTCGCTACCGACCTCCTCCAAAACCCAATTCACCGGCACGAAAATCAGCACAGAGCGAACGAAAAAACAGCAGAAGACAGACTTCGGATTCAAAAGGGTATCGGCAGATCGGTCGAGCAAGCGCCCGGATCAAGCAGAGCCACACAGAGACGGATCAAACGACTCGCTGCGAAAGAAACCAAGCCACGGAAAAAAAGCAAAAAGGCCCGTCGCCAAACGTACCAGCGTACTTGCCCTTGTAGCACGACATGTTGGTTCGCCTTGGTTTCGAGCGATCCGGGGACGACTTGCGACGACGGAGAGAGAGAGCGAGAGAAGGAGCTTTGACGGAGGAGAGGAAGAGAAAGAGTGGGAGAGAAAAACCAGGGTTGTGCCTTTTTTTATATGTTCGAGAAGACGAGGTGGTGGTGGTATTGGTGGGTAAGCCGCACACGAAAATGGAAACAAGAAATTAAAAAAAAATCGGTGAAAATTTCGAGAGAAAAAATAATTAAAATGAAAATGAATCGAGAAAAGTGGGCGGCGAGTGGGCATCGAGACTGTCACGGCTCGTGTGTCGTTGCTTTGCTCCCACGCAATTCTGGCGCCATATCAACATTGTTCATGTAGGTATACACTTAACAGTTTTGATTGACATGATTTTGATGATGGTTGAATGCGTCATGTAAGTATAAGTTCGGGAATTTTTAGTATTGCCGAAAAAAGTTTAAGGTACAACATTAGCTCAGGATTTATGGTGATATTTGCCTTTAAAAAGAAGATTTTATGACATTTTATATTCCGTGGATAGCGAGAAAAATGGGAGCAAGGAGGATATTTTTCTCTCACTTATAATATAGCAAGTCAAGTAAATCCGTACGAAATACTAGAAAAAAAGGATCGAATTTTTCCCGATAATATCACGAATGAAATCGACCTTTTGAGATTAAACTTCTCCTTCTGTCGGTGAAATGATAACGCTGCCAGCTAATCGATAGGCAGCGAAGGGCATAATCGGTAATTCGGAAGAGGGAGAGTGCCTAATTCAAAAACCGGATGCTGGTGAGTGATGATTAGGTGGGCAAAACGAAGAGGGGAGACGAAAAGGAAGGACAGCCAAAACTTTAATTCGAGCGGCGACGCCAAAACCAGCAGCCGCCTTATCATTTCTTCACTCCCTCTTCCTTTCTTCTTTCTTCTTCTTCTTCTTCTTTTCTTTTTTTTTTCTATTTGATAAGGATGATGAAAAAAACAATTTCGATTTTCAAAGTGTCGATTATACAAGATCGGATTATTTTTTTTATAAAAATTAAAGAACCCTCGAGATGAAAAAGAAAAGAAAAAAAAATAATCAATTCCGCATGGTTTCATGACACTCTATCGAAATTAGCTCCGCGCTCGTTTTCACAGATCAAGGGATCTGTTTGTTTCCCGAAAAATGAATACATTCGAAAGGCATTTTCCCCGAAAATGACTGTCGGCATCGCTCAAGATAATTAGTAGATAAAAGAAATGTTTTCCTTATCGATATCAACATGTGTCTAAATATTTCCGTACGGATGATGAGACCATCTTTCGTTCATTCATGCTTGTAAGAGATACGAAATATTGTTTTCGAAAAAAGAAAAAATTTGAAATTATTTGTTTTCAGCGAAATGGATGGACCCCTGAATTTAATACTTTTCCCGACAAACTATAAAGTGGGCTAAACCTCGTGGGTCTTGAGTTGGTTCCACCTGCCTTTCCATCGTTTTGCGCCTCCGGATTTTCTTTGCTTCCCAAAGTTGGATACAAAATCTACCGGCCATTCTTGGTGTCGTGTGAAGTAGTGGCCAAAGGTTGGTGGGTCCCGATGCCGTACTCCTTCTTTAAGCCTAACTCGCTAAACAACTTTAATTCTAGCAAAAAAAAAAACAACTTTAATATTTTTTTGTCAGATAAAAAGTAGGGTTGAGCAATATGGACAGCCTAAATCGGGACCGGACCGAACCGGACTGACCAGTTTGGTTCGATTCTTGGGAATATCGGTCCGGTTTCCAGTTCCTAAAAGTGGAACTGGTTTTCGGGCGATCCGGTTCTCCGTTCTAGAATGGGAAATGGATTGATAAATATATATTTTTCTAATTTTTTCATATATATATTTATTTACTTTTTAAAATTTTTGAAAAAAATAAAAAGCCCAATCTAATTTTCCCAATCCCTCTTGCCTTTACCGATAAGTGATTGGTCCCATTAGAACCTGACCGGACCGATGGTCTCATCCGGCCCACGGTCCCAAGACTAGTCGGTCCGGTCCCTGGTTCTAGAAATTGGGAATCGGTCCTTTCGGTCCGGTTCCCAGTTCTTGGGTTGGACCGGACCGGAAACCGCTCACCCCTAATAAAAAGAACAACTTAAATTTGGGAAGCCTCTTTTCTTTCCATGAGCAAATAATTCCACACTCTTTTCTCTTTTCTTTTTTTTTGTATAATTTCACGTATTAATCGATATGTCTTATAATCCGACCCCCCCCCCCCCCCAAAAAAAATCAATATGTCTTTATAGACTTTGATGTAATGAGCAAATAATTCGACACTTCGAATTGTGGAATTTCATCGGTCAAATTAATATTTTGACGACGCTTTCATAATCATACTCAACATTAGGCTTATAATTCCATGACTTATTTCTAGACAATTTTTATCTATACTTGTGATTTAAACTAAATAAGATACTAGATTTTTTTGGACTAAGAAAAATTAAAAGTTAGTTTTGGATTGTGCGCAACTTATTAGTCAATTGTAATTATCTGCAATAGATTAATTCTAAAAATAATAAAGGTTGTGCGAAACCTTAGAAATTTTTAAAAAAATTTAGGAGAGGTAAAAGTGACTAGGATAAAGAGGGTGATGATTAGGCAATTTCAGTGGTGATTTGGAGATGAGGAATCTAGTTTGGGAGAAAATTTTTGGAAAGATTTATGTTGAGAATTACTTTAATGGAGGGATCAAATTTAGAAAAAAGTCACCCATATTGACAATTCGCGGGGTTTTCTTTATTTCATCTTATCCCGTCCTATCCGAAATTTTGACAACCAAACACAACTTTGAGCTAGTTGTAAGCATTTTCATTTTTTGTTAATATCACAAAAAACCTCAAATTTATACACCTATAATAAGTTTACTCCAAACTAACTTTTTGACCACCGGAAAACCCAAACCAGAACTGGTATTCCGGTAACAAATTTACCCAAAATTAATTTTTAACTACCAAAAATCCAAATTGGTATACCGGTGAAAATTAGATTAATACCACGAAAAATCACAAATCGGTACATGGTGACAAACGGAAAGTAAAACCCCAAAATGGTACATTGCCATGTGTCTTCAAACTCAGTAATTTGATTGTAAAATTTAACGAAAATTAATTGATGGTAAATTTATCATAGATGTACCAATTTTGGGTTTTTTATGATCAAAAAATTAATTTAGATTAAATTTATCGAAGCTGTACCATTTTGAAGTTTTTCGTGATATTAACTATTTTATTTTCTAGTAGGATGCGACAGTAAATTAAGGTACTCCGCTCCTTGTCCAATCGAAAGTTTTGAAAGTCCGTTATTTAAAAAAGAAAGATATCCCTTTTACCCCTATGCTAAAATATTCGATTTAGATGTCGCGTCGAGGAGGAAATTCCGGATGGATGTGTCTAAACTCAGAAAGACTTCACTTTCTTATAAATTTTTTTTTTTTTTGAATTTCGGTGGAGCCTTTATGCCATTGCTCTTCAGAGTCATCATCTTTGTCCTGGTGCATTGGTTTTTTTTTTTTTTTTCAATGTTCCAGCCTTCTATTACAGTAATAGTCGCCTGGCAAGTGCTACCAACTGTTATTGCACCAATTTTAAAGTATTCTCAGTCCAGCTCAGGAAGATGTCCCTTTTATAACGGCATTGTTGCATCCAACAAGAGCATGTACACCAGATCAGATCAGATCAGATCAGATCTATGTGTGCGGTGAAGTCACGTGGTCATATGCTTTCTTCAACAGTCGATTAGCTGCTGCTGAGTTTAGCTTCCCTACTGACTAGTCAAAAGATCACGTTGACAGAGCTTGATATTAGCTCAGATTGCAAGCCGAAGGCTAATTGTCAACTCAAAGGATGAAAAACAAAGAAGAGAAAAGGCCTCCGAATGCCTCAAATTGCACCCATTGCGACGACAAAAGTCCCGAACTTGTATCTATGTAACACTTTTACCCTCCGTCAAGATTTCACCAATGAGCATCATTAAAAATCTGCTTACATAGATGTCGGAAGGCAAACGGTGTTGACACGGCGCCCACTTGACTTGAGTGAAATAAAGCCGACCTTATTTTAACTGAAAAATTATCTAACGGAACCTTGACAAATTAAGGGCAAGAGGTGCAAGTTTCGGGGTTTTTTGTCACAAGAAAAACGTTTATGATAAATGTGTCGTAATAGGCACAATTTGAAAAAAGTTCGAGATAAATATATTATAGTGGGCATAGTTTAGATTTTTTTGTGGCATTTTTTCCTGGCAAGAAAAAGCAAGTTTCATCCGAGTCCAACTTGAGCAGCAAATTACGAGGACATACCCTGCTTGACAGTACCATGTGGCCCATGGCCATATTGGGCGAATCCGAACACTAGCATCTTTCTCAGTATAAAGAATGATTCTCCAATGAAACTCTGTGTTTTGGGAATTTGATTCCGGAATGATTCCCACATTATGCTCATCGACGATATTGGTGTTAGAACGATTCTCACGTATTATTGAGCACTGCAAACAAATTGGGACGTGATTCGTCTCAAGCAAGTAGCATGTCCATTTCGTCGGGTGTCGAGCAATGTCTTGACAGCACGAGAAGGGAACCCGGTACCTTAAATTCTTCATTATTTTCCTTTTTCACGATGAGGAGCACCGTCTTAGGTAGATAGAGCTCTCAAGACGGTCCAATGACATTCGGGATCAGCTTTCACGTCATACATCCAGTCCGCCCTCTCAGTCCGATCGAAGATAAGACTAAGACTATCCGTGTCGAGATTGGAGGGTTCGTGAGGAATCGTTTCCTCATGGAAGGTTTCATGCCTTCCAAAATCTCGATTAGTTTGCAACTCGTCCACGGCTCTTACTTAAATGGGTTGGACGGACGTTCGGACATTCTCCAACATGAGATTGGGATGTCCTCTTTCGTCTTTTGGTCATTGTTGGGCTGAACTCACCAAGTGGAAGCTCGCGCACCCTGAAAGTAGTTCGAAAAACAAAGTTCGCAAAACTTCCAACTTGACACATGCACTCGCAAGCCCACAGGAATCAAGTCACACGTACTAGCGTGTCCGAATCTCGCAGCTAAGCGAGCAATCGCGATCTCGAAATGAGAAATTACTCAGCCACGTTGCTTATGTTCACATTATCAGGCATTCAGATGGCTGTTCAAATGGTAAATCTGCAGAATATTCCTCATTCAAGGATCGTGCTCATATGTGTTCGTGTTCATAAGGGCTTATGTGTGTATCCGCTTTCAGTGATCTTGAGTACAAAACAACAGTATCCGATGATAAAATTCAGCAAGGGAGAGTTCAAATGCTCTCCAAGGTCTCTGATCAAACTGAAAAATTGCTCAAAATAGAAAGAAAGAAAATGTAAGCACGACACTATCTGAGCTATACATTATTTACTAGGAATACCCTGCCTTGCGTGCCTGTTGATTGAAGAATGAAGAGAAGGCAATGGCTAACCCAAAGATCGTGTCGGCAAATGCATGTTGCAGACTGGGTTTGCTGAAATCCGATGGAAATTGATAGTTTCCGTATCTCTTTCGGTTTGGGAAGTTCAGACAATGCCAAAGACGCCAAACAAGACAAGGAAACCTGACAAAGCCAGACATAAGGAACTTCTGCACAAAAGAGGAAAGTATACCAGTGCATTTCCTTGAGCTCGTCCTTTGTCAACTCTTTAAACCCATATCGTTCCTCCTCACCAAGGTGCTACATTCCCTATATGCAATCAACCAGGCCACATCACAAATAGATCCTGCATCCTGATCATTCCCCTGTCATCGTTATCCAGGCAACAAAGAAGAGGTCGGCAAGGTATTTAGATCTTCAGTCGGCTTATATCTAGTGCCCTCGATGCTATTGGTATTATTCAAATCTTTAAATGGTCCAAAACCATGCAATGGATAATAGGGTCTTGATTGGGGATGTTCCACCAAGAAGGCCAATGCTTCAGAACAATATTTTGACATTCCCATGTTCCAAATCCTTCTAGTTCAGTACTACTATCGAGTTTACATCTACCACTTCAATTTTGGTCAAATCAGTCCTCCGAGCAAGCAAATTCCCATGCTTCGACGTTTTTGCTGCCGAAAGAATCAAAAGGGGCATGCTTGCACAATTCTTGAGCAATCTATCTGCCAAGTGTTTCAACTCGTGATCATTGCCTATATCCCCAACCGACTTTTCAAAAATTAATCGTGCTTCTTCAAGCTTCAACTCATTGAGCATGAACTCTTGGTCCAAGAGCCCACATCAATGCACAAAACATCTCGGTTTCTCCATATTGCAATAACTTGCAACCTATTGGTTTGTTGTCATCTCCGCAAGGTACTTTACATCCTTTAGCGGTACCTTCATGCACAAATTATCTAAAGTGACGAGAATTTTCTTCTTAGGATCACTCTCTAACCTCTTATGTAGAAAATCCATAAATCCAAGTACATTTTCCTCATTAATCAACTTCAAGCCCAGTAGACAAGCAATTTATCAACCTCTAAATGTCGGAAATAACTAGTGTCGTCGCCCTTTATTTATAGGATCTTCCCTATGTCATCTAAATAATGACGATTTTCCTCTTCGAATCATCTTCTAACCTCTTCCAAAGAAGAATCACAATTCCAAGTGCAATTTCCTCATTAATCAACTTCAAATCCAATGCACAAAAGAATTCTCCATGAATATCTATAAGTTCCGCGCGTTCGTGATGTGATAAATTTCCTCAAAATTCACATTGAAAATCGAACGGCTTCTTCGGGCTGTTCGTATTTTCTCCAAATCAACTCCCAAACAGTGAAGGGTGGCCAATGGGGATATATTTAATGCAGAACCATTATCAATCAACACTCTAGCGATGATTAAATCGAGTGAGTGAAACAAAGTTTCGGCCAAAATGATATTTGAAAACCGTTTGAATTGAAAAACTTGATAGGCAACATGGCTAAAGGATCCATGGTCTATTTGGTGAAAGGGTATACTATAAACCTTCTTACACGTCAAACGGCTTCTCTTCCTTTACAAGTTGTCAATACACGATGAGGATTTTCCTCATTGGATCAACTTCTAACTTCTTCCGAAGAAGATCCACAATTCCAAGTGCAGTTTCCTCATTAATCTGCTTCAAGCTCAATGCATAAGTGAATTCTCCATGAATTACTTTAAGCACGGCAAATCTGTGATGTGGTAAAGTTGCCTCAACAACAACATCGAACAACTTCTCTTCCTTAACTAGCCTTTCCACATCATCCAATAGCTGTCGATACACTCCCATCACAATGACACTGTTGGTTGCAGTACTTGCCTCCAAGGCATCTGATCTCGCGGCAAAAGCCATGCCGATGACCATTCCAGATGGACTGCACTTGAGATAAAACTTCTGGAAGTAACTCTTACAGCTTTCCACTTAAAGCCCCATGAAGACCCAAATCATCTTCCTCCAATCCCTACCCTTCAAAAATCAGGCCATGGGGTTCGGAAACCCCCGGCGGGAGCAAACATCCTTACCACTTGCCTCGAATTTCAGCGGGTTTTCTGCATCCATGGTGGTGCGCCCCCAGACTACCCAACCATTTCTTAACATCAAAGCCTGTAGATTCCACAAAACGCTTGGCCTCACCGACGAAAGGCCCTACTCTTCCGCTTCACATCCCTCATCTTATCCACTCCATCTCGAAGATACTTAGTGAGCTCTCATCAAACATCACAGTACCCAAATTGACGCCTAGTGGGAGCAACCAGGTACTATGTTGCGAAATCGACAACCATTTCTTCCCCTCTCTCTCTTTTTCTCTTTCCTTATGCTCAAAAAACTACCCACCAAGGAGCTGAAAGCCAAAATCATACAAAATAGAGTACAAAAATCAAGCCAAAATGACTACAGAACGAGGACAACGAAACAGTAGCTAGCACTAGCCAGTAACCTACCAAAGGAACAAGACTATGAACACAGAGAAACTGAGAAAGCGGTAGCAAATTAGGAACATGCTCGTTGAAAGTTTCGTTACCTCATGGGAATGCAGGGTTTCAATGACTTCTGTCAAAGACAGTTGCTCAGCTTGAGACAAGAGCACTGATAACGAGGCGAGGGACGCTCGCGGAAGTAGATGGTATTAGGGTATACAGGCCCATGCAATGAATGGAAAAGGTCCTGAGCCCCTTTTGGGCATTTGGGCTCTCAAAAAAATAGAAGTCAATGGTTTTGAAGAGCCTCTCCGTTTCTCTTAATGATGGCTAGGATGTAACGAAAGAATACGAATATCTCGGGAGAAGAACACTAGAAGTGTTAAAACTTGTGTACGACGCTCACTTTAGTGCCAAAAGTTCACTTAGGCTGCGCATGACAACGATTCTATGCCCGGGAACAGATTCTGCTCAGAAATGATTTTTTTTTATTCTGTACCCGGAATTGATTCTGAGCATTTTAAAGCGTTTGTTAACGGCCCAAAATTCCATCTCTAGAATAGAAAAAGAACAGAAATGCGTTTGGTAACACCACAAAATTTCTTTTTATTAATAATATTTTTAAATATTTTAATATTTCTTTCTTTTTTTTCTTTTCTTTTTTTCTTTTTCTCCTTCTTGGCCATGGCCTACTCGCCGGCCAAGACCGGTAAAATATTTTTTTATTAATAATATTTTTATTAAAAGTATTTATTATTTTTTTTGGCCATGGCCTGGTCGCCGGCCATGACCGGTAAAATATTTTTTTTATTAATAATATTTTTATTTTTTTTGGCCATGGCTGGTAAAATATTTTTTTTATTAAAAATATACATTTTTATTTTTTTGGGCCATGGCCTGGTCGCTAGCCATAGCCAGTAAAATATTTTTATTAAAAATATATATTTTTATTTTTTTTGGCCATGGCCTGGTCGCCGGCCATGACTGGTAAAATATTTTTATTAAAAATAAATTTTTTTCCTTTTTTTGGCCATGGCCTGATCGCCGGCCATGGCCTGTAAAATATTTTTTTTATTAATAATATTTTTTAAAATATTTTTATTTAAAATATACATTTTTTTTTGCCATGGCCTGGTTGCTGGCCATGACCGGTAAAATATTTTTTTTATTAATAATATTTTTTAGTAAAATATTTTTATTAAAAATATATATTTTTTCTTTTTTTGCCATGGCCTGGTCACCGGCCATGGCAAGTAAAATATTTTTTTTATTAATAATATTTTTTATTAAAATATTTTATTCTCGTCAGATCCGGCGAGGGCGGCCCTCGAGCCGGACATTAGAAGCTACATTAAAAACCAAGAAAAGGAAGAAGAAAAAAAATTGATTCTCAAAATTGTTCCCAAAATCAAGAAGCTACTTTTTTTTTATTCTTGAAAACTGATTCTGGGAACAATTTTTGACAAAATTGTGCCCAGAATCAAAAAATTAAACAAACGCATTTCTGTTCCCAAACTGATTATGGGAACAAAAGAACAGAATCAAACATTGTTTGGCAAGTTGTCATGCGCAGCCATAAGTGCCGCTTTTTTGAAAAAAACGATCACTTAAGTGCCAATTCTGATTTGGGTTGCCGGAAATCTGACGTGGCCATATTTTATTAATTTCTTAGTCCTAAGTGGCACGTCGGCGCTGACGAAAACAATATTAAATAATATTTTTAAATTTTTTCAGATTTTTTTTTTCTATTTTTTCCTTTTTTTCTATTTTTCGTTTTTTCTTTTCTTTCATCTTCTTCGTTTGGCCGGTGACCGGACACCGGCCACCGGCCATGGCCGGCCGCCTGGCCTCGCCGGACGAGGCCGCCGTCGCCCGCCACGGGCGACGTGAGGCCGCCGTGGCACTGGGCGACCGCTGCGAGGGCGCCGTGGTGCGGGCGACCACCGGCGAGGCCGTCGTGGCTTGGGCGAGGGCCGGCCTCGCCGGATCTGCGAGGCCGGCCCTCGCCCGGGCCATGGCGGCCTCGCCGGCGGTCGCCCGAGCCACGGCGACCCCGGCGACCGCTCGCGGCCGCCGTGGCTGGGTGAGGGTCGGCCTCGCCTCGCCCAGGCACGCCCTTGCCCGGGCGGCGAGGCCGGCCCTCGCCGGATCCGGCGGGTCGGCCCTCGCGCAGCCACGGCGACCCCGGGCGACCGCTGCGAGGCCACTGGCTCGGGCGAGGCCGGCCCCGCCCGGATCTGGCGAGGGCCGGCCTCGCCTCGCCTCGCCTAGGCACGCCTTGCCCGGGCGAGGCGAGGCCGGCCCTCTCCAGATCCGGCGGGGCCGGCCCTCGCCCGGGCCACAGCGGCCTCGCCGGCGGTCGCCCGGGGGAAGGCGACCCCCGGCGAGGCCAGGCGGCCGGCCATGGCCGGTGGCCGGTGTCCGGCCACCGGCCAAATGAAGAAGAAGAAGAAAAAAAAGAAAAAAAGAAAAGAAGGAAAAAACAGAAAAAAAAATCAAAAAAACAATTAAAAATTCGAAATTTACCCGTGGAAATGCCACGTAGGACTGAGAAATTCAAAATATACATGTGGAAATGCCACGTAGATTAAAATTTTAATTAAAAAAGTCACGTATTAATTTGGCCGGAATTTCTCACCGTTGGCACTTAAGTGATCGTTTTTCTCCGATTTTGGCACTTAAGTGATCCGAAACAAACTTTTGGCACTAAAGTGAGCGTCGTACACAAGTTTTGGCACTTCTAGTGTTCTTCTCCCCGAATATCTCCTGTTTTCTAAGAGTTCAAAAAATGAATCACGGCCATCATATGTATACTAAGATGATAAATTTAGCAAGAAAGTTCTCTACAATGTTTTTGATGTCTAGGTGTTTCGTATATATGGCTGAAAATAAGCGAACGTCATTTGATAAGATTAGGTAGCTGACGTATTTGCCGATACGAAAGTGGTTTTGCATTTTGTATTCAATCTGCCATAATCTGCAAGCTGAGCAATTTATCGTTTTACGAATGCAGTCCATTTGATCAATATGGCAGAGCTGAACTTGAAGCTTCTGCAAACCTGGGTTACGCTAATGAATTTCTTTGCTATTATTACTTGGATAGGCCATCCAGCTTCTTCTTCTTCTTTTGTTTGTTAAGCAAAACAACCTGTTGCTTTGTTTTATTGTCCAGAAAAGAACAGCTGAAACTCTTTGGCATGTGGTATTTCAATCTCAAAGTCCACTTGCAATTGACAAAGCAAAAGTTCACTTTTTCTTGCTGAAAGGCAAGACTTTTCCTTGGATGCACTAAGCAATGAGCAACAGAGAAATTCTAAATGAAAGAGGAGTCGAAACTTGCAGGTTGAATGTGCTAAACCGATGTACCATAAAAGTGAGGAAGAAGATTGACTTCAAGACTTTACTTGCTTTAATAATCTAAGTTTGTGGCTGCATTACAGCGCCAAAGGGCCATGGGGAAAAAGTATGGGAAAGTTGTCAAATCAGTCCTACACCTATTGTACGGTAGCCAATTCAGTCCTAAACCTTTTTAAATTCTTGCCAATTCAGTCCTTCCGGCCAATTTTGGCCGGCCGGCGCTGACGTGGCCGCCGGCCGGCGCCGGCCGTCCGGTCAACGCTGACGTGGCAATTTTTAAATTATTTTTTTCAATTTTTTAATCTTTTTTTTCTTTTTCTTCTTTTTTTTTTTCTGCTGTCTCCCCTCTAGCCGGTCCGGCGATCGGCGACCGGCCAGAGGGGAGGGCCGGCGAAGCTCTCCCCGCCGGCCACCGGCGAAGGCGAGCCTCGCCGGCCCCTGGCTGGGTGAGGCGAGGTCGGCCTCGCCTCGCCGTCGCGACCCAGGCGACAGCGAGGCTCGACCTCACCTCGCCTAGCCTCGCCGTCGCCTCGCCTCGTCGTCGCCCGGGTCGCGACGGCGAGGCGAGGCGAGGTCGAGCCTCGCCGTCGCCCGGGTCGCGACGGCGAGGTCGAGCCTCGCCGGAACTGGGCGAGGCTCGACCTCGCCGTCGCCTCGGATCACGACGGCGAGGTCGAGCCTCGCCCGGCCGGGCGAGGCTCGACCTCGCCGTCGCCCGGATCACGACGGCGAGGTCGAGCCTCGCCAGATCTGGCGAGGCCGACCTCGCCGTCGCGACCCACGCCACGGCGAGGCGAGGTTGAGCCTCGCTGTCGCCTGGGTCGCGACGGCGAGGTCGAGCCTCGCCATCGCCCGGGTCGCGACGGCGAGGTCGAGCCTTGCCCGGATCTACGACGGCGAGGCGAGGCGAGGTCGAGCCTCGCCTCGCCTCGCCTCGCCCATCGCCTGGGTCGCGACGGCGAGGTCAAGCCTCGCCAGATCTGGGCGAGGCTCGACCTCGCCTCACCCTCGCCGGGGGCCGGCGAGCTTCGCCAGAGGCCTCGCCGGCCCTCCCCTCTGGCCGGCCGCCGGTCGCCGGACCGGCCAGAGGGGAGAAAGCAGAAAAAAAAAAAAAGAAGAAAAAGAAAAAAAAGATTAAAAAATTGAAAAAAAAATAATTAAAAATTGTCACGTCAGTCCTGTCCGGCCAAAATTGGCCGGAAGGACTGAATTGGTAAGAATTTAAAAGGTTTAGGACTGAATTGGCAAAATTAAAAGGTTTAGGACTGAATTGGCAAAATTAAAAGGTTTATGACTGAATTGGCCGCCGTACAATAGGTTTAAGACTGATTTGACAATTTTCCCGAAAAAGTATTTTACCTCTTAGGTCATTCGTTCTGGAACTTTGACTTGCATGCATGCCCTTTTACATTTTGCAAAGCATTTCGCTAAGGAGTGTCGCTTGAGCACTTATTAGATAAGCAAAGAAGTGCATATAACGAATTTTCATCCGATCTTGCAACGTCGAATCGTGGTTCTAACAATCGAAACTCTTCTTATAATGTAGGCTTGATTAAATGGTTGGGAGGCTCAACATTACCTCTCTTTTAGCTAACAATGTTAGGTATATTAAGGCTTGTTTACGAAACTGATATATTGAGCAGAATGATGTTAATTTATTTGGACGGGGAAAATTGTCCAAAAACTTCTAAACCTATTGTACGACAGCCAATTAAGTCCTAAACCTTTCAATTTTGCCAATTCAGTCTTAAACCCTTTCAATTGTGTCAATTTAGTCCTAAACCTATTGATTATTTGCTAATTTAGTCCTTCCGGCTAATTTTGGCCAGAAATCGCTAACGTCGGCGCCGGCCGTCCTACGTGGCGCTGACGTGGATAATTTTTTAATTTAAAAAAATTCAAATTTTTTATTGATTATTTTACTTT